TTATGATGACAGCACATAATATTTTACTGGATATTTTTCAATATACAAGCATTCAGATTCAAAGTGCGATTCAAAGGCTTAATTGAGGTAATTAGGCAGTTCATTGTATAATAGTTTCTTCTGCAGACAATCATAAAATATATAGCCTAAGGGGGCTAATAATATTGACCTATTGATGGATTTCAAACTATTTAATCCTGCTTTTATTCTTGCTGGAATAAAACAAATAAGACTTTCTCTAGAAGAAATAATATTAGAGGAAATACTGTTAAAATTCCTTGCTCTGTTAAACATCATTTGGGAAATATTCATTTTAAAAAAAAATTCTCAGAAGCGCTAATAATTTTGACTTCAACTGATAATCGTTTTGAATAATCGTGATTACAATTATGTTCAAAATAATCGTGATTATGATTTTTCCCAAAATCGAGCAGCCCTATGGTCTGTTAAACTGTTTTCTCACTAGTAAAGCGTACAGTTTGTCAATTCAGTTTTTCCACTCACTAAGTTCACCATGTAAATAGCAAATGCATCATAGCAACTAACTCTTAAAGGGAATGAGAGATGAAATTCTATAGATTTAATGCACGTTATGCTCAAAACACACCCACAACTCATTAAGAGAATGAGCACAACCCTGTTTGACCATGCGCCACAGAGCAAACCATATTTTTCCAAACTTAAAATAGCAAAAGTGAATTCAGACACGCCCATAATGCTTTTGCGCTTTACACTTTGCACCTAGATTGTTAGAATAGAGCGCTTAGTCCATTTGTGCTGTCTAAACTGTGGGGGAAAACCATACAGAAGCTATTATAGAGGACTTATTAAGCAGGAAAGGGTGATTTATTTTTACAAATTAAATTTAATATGTGGTAAAAGCAGTATTTAGATATAAGCCAAATATTTTATTTACTTGACCAGAACTAATAAGAACAAACATGAATGTTGTCAAGATTCTTGCCTAGGGAGTCCTGGTTCAGTTTGGTCTACCACAAATACCTTCCTTTCCTCAGACATGTTTTCTCTCTTCTGCTTGATTTGTTACAATTTTAAACAATCAACAATTCTCTAATGGTGCTTTTCCACTGCATGACATGGTTTGTTACCGCTAACTTTCCACTGCCTTCCTTTACTAATATGTGGTATTTTTTAAATAACACCTTAGGTGCAGTTCCAGGCGTGTCGCAATGTTACCAAAATGTGACGTATTCACAGTTGATCAACAATTGTTCAGAGAATCATCATTACTAATATCATTGGACTTGCAACACTAGACACCAAATAACCAGAATAAAAACACATGAAATGACAAAAAGACTGAGATGGCAGCATCTAATCAGTAGAAGAGGTCCAGATGTTCCTTTCATTTGTAGCTAGGGAGCAGACCCAGCAAGAGTTTGACAGGAAGCCCAAGAATTAAACATTTTTAGAAGTCAAGGCAGTAGAGGCAGTTCCACTACAGTGTTAATCCCGGTACTAAACTGCAGTGAAAATGCAAACCAAGCAGAGCAAAACTGAACTAAAATTAACCATGCAAGACTGTACCAAACCCAACAGTGGAAAAACAGCTTAAAAATGACAGTAATTGATCATTTTCAGCAGCAGGTCTGTTCTGTGCCACCAATATGGACAATTGATGGTGCGTCATTAAAAAAAACTTCATAAGGAAGACTATCAAAACTTGTTTCATGCCAAATTTACCAGACAACTCAAATTTGTGGTGTCATTAAAACCTAAAAGGATTACCTGGATCAGTGTCTGACGAGCAACTGTAACTGGCTTTTCCTCTGGTACTCTGCTTTTGGCGAGACTGCTGCAGTCTGGGACTAGTAGGAGTTGGTCTTCCCATAATTGTGGCCCCTCTGCTGGACGGCAGGTAGCAGGAGCGGTGCCTCGCGTCAGCCAGTCTCCCGCCGTTACGTCTCTTCAGGTCATCCCAGCGTTTCTTCACTTCTCTTAGTGTCCGTGGTACTCTGGACACAGCATTGACACGCTCAAGTATCCCGGCCCAAATGCGCTCTCGTTCTCGGCGCCGGAGCCTCCCAGCTGGACCGAACAGCTCCCCTTCACAACGGGTCACTTCTGACACCAACACCTCCAGCTCTGCCCCACTAAAGCGGCTCTTCCTTTTCCCTACACCTCCTGCTGCTAATGCTGAAGACACACCTCTGCCTTTAATCAAAAGATAGATTTGAATTCCATATCATTTTATATTTGAAGATGCACTCGGTACATTTCCTGCGGATGTTGTGTGGGTCAGACTTACACTGACAGCATCATATACAGTAGTCAACATTTGAAGATGATCAAAACAGTTTTTTGGTTCAAAATTTTCCCAAGACAAGAATGAGTGTTTTTGTATGATTTCCGTAAAACTTTGATAACAGGTGGTGAAGATTCTTTTTTTTTAAGTTTTCACTGGGGTTTTTATCTCATCACATGATCTTAAACTTGTTTGCTTTCACCAATTCTTTCTACATTTGCTAAACTTTAGTTAAAAGGAAAAATAGACAGAGTGCATCTTCAAATACTATAATTAAAACAGACAGTTTACACAAAGTCATTTCTTCAATCATCATTTCCTCACCCTTGACTAGTTCCAAACCAGATTGAGTTTTATGTTATGTTAAACACAAAATAATATATTTATGTTGCATGTTTAAGAATGTTGCATAAGTATGTTGAAAACCTGTTACTATTGTCATCCATATCAAGGAAATGAATGATGACAGAACTTTTATTTTGCGGTGAACTGTCTCTTTAAGGAGTAAAATCACAACTTAAGTGAAATCAACCTATCTTCCTACCATCCAAGACTTACTTTGGTCAATTGGGATGAGATCATCCGAAGACATGCCAGGAGCGACTATGTTGGGGTGCACGACCACCACATTAAAGGGCAGGCTGCTTGGCAACCCGCCGTTCTGATGGTCACAGCTGGCCTCAGAGTCGTCATCTTCTCTGGGGAAACCGTCCTCGGACACCCCGCCTCCAAAGGGACCCTCTGGAGACTCCACTTTGATGTGCATGGGAGGTGAGTGCTCGTACAGCAAGCCCCCCTCCTCGTAGTACTCAGTCATGGATATGTAGTGCTTTACAGACACACCGACGTGACGGCTGGACAGCGTGCCATTCACAAGAAGGGTGAAAAGCCACCATGCTGTTCCATGGCAAGGCATTCATCGCCTCATTTTAATGACTAACATGGACAGTAACACACAGCCACAGAAAACACACACTCGCTGGAGAACAGCAGTAAGTTAGCGTGTCATTTTATGAGGCAATTAAGATGGATTTAGCGAAAAAAATGCGACGTGTTTGTTGTGCATCTTAACAGAGCAGGAAAACAAAAACCTGTGGCTTTCATCCAAAAGCGAAACTCGTTGACGTTCTTCTGATATTCTGACATTATGTATATTTATCATTCATAACATGCAGAAATCCAAAAGCTATTCTGCTAATCTTGAAATAACGAGAACAAACCCGAGGCTACAGAGGAGACATTAAAAACAAAGAATGTATGGATAATATAGTTGGATGCACATTTAACCGAATGTTTAAATACGCGAAAAGCGTAAATATGAAGGCCAACATTACCTGTGTCGCAGCAATGCGCATTTATTCTGCACCACATCCGCAATGGATGCGCATTCCGCATAAATTACGTTAGCCACCACTCGCTCTTCTCGAGCAGCTAACGTACGGCTGTTCGCGTTAAAGTCATAAATGCGACGTGTCCGCATAACGACTAACGTATATTCTCGAAAAATTAATCCACAGCCACATCGAATGACTGTGGTACATGTTCAGTTAGTTTATAACACGACATAAACACGATTTAAAGTGAACAGGCGCAAAGCTAACCTGTTAAAATCCTAAATGTACACACAGCCCAAATGGTCGCAGGAATATGACATCACAGAATGATATTTACCGTGCGGCTATTTCCGAAACTCTGACACTGTAGTTTATTGATCGAAACGGCGACTGTTATATTTGAATAAGTCCGAATTTGAACATTTCACATGAACACTTATAAACTAAAATATATAATTTTAAACAAAATAAATGAAGGCTGTTGTACAACTCAAAAAGTGCTGTAAAACACATAGGCCTTGGCTACATGTTTTGCAGAACTTTTCAAACGATAAAACTAGGCTAAAATAATTAATATTTATACAGTTTTATAATAAACGTGTTTTTAAATTATGCTTACAGAAAAAGCTTCTGCTGGAATTAGCCTAGCACTTTGAATTTGTTATCTGGTTCACGTTCTACACGACATCATAAGACAGAAACTATTTTGTTATTGTTGTTGAAATCTTTTGTTTGTAAAATGAATATGCTTATGAGACAAACCCACGTCCTAAAATGCAAAAAGCATCTAGCCTATCTATTAGTATTTAGCAATTTACACATTGATCATAGGCTACATTTTAAAACTGTTATTGTTATTGATAATTCATTCATTTAGCCTATTCATATTTAATTTTTAGATCCGGGTCACACTTTAAAATAAGGTTTAGTTCATGTATTTACTAAAATGAACTTGTAATGAATGAACAATAGTTGTAAAGAACTTATTAATCAGTTCAACATTTACTAATGCATTTTTAGAATTTAAAATCATGCTTAGCATAGTTAATTCACTGTGAGTTAATGTGAAATATCAATAAACAACTTATTTCATTTGCTAACATTAACACAGATAAATACAATAATAAATGTGTTGTTCCTGTTCGTAAATACATTTACTAGTAACCTCATTGGAAAGCAGGAGTGTTGCAGGACATAAAGCTCTACTGGTGCACAGGGTCCTCACAACCGCACACTCTTCCCACTAAACTTCGCTAGGTTGTGGCTGGAAAGACATCACTGCATAAAACATGCTGAATCAGTTGGTGATTCATTCCGCTGTGGCGACCCCTAATAAATAAGACTAAGCCAAATGAAAATGAAAGAATGAATGAATAAATAAAAGTATTATTATTATTATAAAAGTATTATAGATGCATATGTGTCAGTTATGGATTAAACTACATTGCTTTCGCAAGCGTTGATTCGGTTGTACATAGAGAATAACGTCTTTATTCTGGTAATGCTACTCGAATGTATCATGAATGAACAATGCTGTTCTCTATGATTTTTTAACAATGCTCTTGTGAGTCTCCTTCTTCTGCCTATTGTGGTTCCATTAGCTACAATTTAAATAACTGCCACAGAGAAGACATCTAGAAATCTATGTCCACCACCACTCCCTTCCTCTTAAAAAGGACATTGATTCATGCACCCATCTATCTGCCTTTGAAGGATATTCCTGATTATCAGTTTCCAATCATTGCTCAGCTGTATGATTCCTATTTTTCTCCACATGCTGGACTCCAGTCTGTAAAAGACAAAGTCAAGACCAACAGAGCTCTACATGCTTGCTGATTTCCAGTAATGCAAAAGCTGTTCCCCTTCAGTGGGAACTAAGACATGTGTCTACCGACACTTTAGAAGTTTGTAGATGACCAATCACCAGTGAATGTCTATGAATTGGCATAGCTCATCTCCACAGGTGCTGGTGATTAATCATTAGTAGAGTATATAACCAGTGCACATGGAGCGAGCCGTTAGTCTTTTTGCTTCAGAGCCTCACAAGAAGAGAATGTTCTGCTAAGCTGTCTTCCAGAAAGAAAGCAGTATTCCATCCAGTTCATGTGACACCGCATACAGCGGCGGCTGAACAGGGTCTACTTCCTGTCCTCTGAGTGTTTCACTAGTGGCTAAAAGAGCAGTTTCAAATAAAAGAGCATATTCGCCTAAAAGAGCAACAGGGGCGAGCAAAGCATTTTTTTTAAAGATCCAACTTACAACAACAACTTAAGATTCCAATTTACAATCCAACCATGTGTTTCTTGGTGTGGTGGTTTCCTCTCCCTTGATGAAGGCCACAAGTATTGTGTCACATGTCTGGGGTTTAGCATGTTGGGGCGGTGCTTGCATGCCCTCATTACGAGGGCACGACTGTTGCACAACCTAGGTCGCAGCACACTTTAGCATTAGGGTGCGTCACCCCTGCTGTTCCTCGCAAGTCGGTTAGCACTCAGGAAGGCATGAAGTTGACTGTAAGGGCTCATCCGTTGCCTTCGGCCCTGCAGACCCCTCAACCCCTCCACAGTGCACTTTGTCCAAGCTTTAAGTGAGTGAGGCCTTGCATCCCTCCAGGATGGCAGCACTCTCACTTTATGACATAGAGGGCCAGATGTCCATCGCTGCATCGAAGAGTGGGCTGACATGTTCTGATGACTGTCAGATCGCTCCTGCCCTTCAAGGGTTGTGAGTGATGTCTCAGACCTGAAATTGGACATGCTGGCCGCGATATCCCAGGCTGCTTCAGTGGTGGGACTGGAGATGGCTTGTCTCCCAGTTCCGCCGTCAAACCGATAAGACAAGTGTTATGTGGGGGCAAAGAAGAGGGTCAAACCTCCATCCCCTTCTTCTTGGAGGTGCACAGTGAAATCATGCAGGCATGGAGGGCACCTTTTTCTGCCCGGTTCTCATGCGCTGCCATCCTTGCCACCCTTGATGACGGAGCAGCCAGGAGGTACGAAGCGATTCCTCAGGTGGAGCGCACCATTTCATTCAATCTTTGCCCGCAATGCGCCGTAACCTGGAGAGGTCAGCCTAGACTCCTATCCAAGGCATGTAGGGAGCCTCTGCCTTACATGCTATGGCCACCCATCAGCGCTACCAGGCGCAGAAGCTGGCTGAGCTCCACGAGGGTGGTTCTTCTCCAGGTTTTACACAGAAACTGAATATAGTTTATTTTAGGTTTATTAGAAATTCTTTATCATATAAGGCTGCAAAAATATATTTAAATTCTATGATCCTCTCTCATATCAATTATAGTCTGATAAGTTGGTCTAACACAAAATCTACAGCTTTAAAACCTCTGCAATTACTATATAAACACTTAAAATTTTAGATAAAAAACCTTTTAGTTTTCATCTTTGTACTATTTTGAAAACCAATAAACAGCTTAATTGGAAAATCATCTCTAAGTTTAAAATTGTTGCGTAGCTTACACGATTACGCATGGTTTAGGTCATCTCATCTCCCTCTATATGAATCTTTAAAATATAAATCTGTAGAAAATAATAACTAGAAGTGCAGATAGAGCTGATTGCATTATTCCACTTAGAAAAAGTTATTTTGGTCAAGCATATTTTTTAAAGCATCACATCAGTGGAATTTGATACCACAATCTGAATGTGTATCTTTAAATCATTTAAGTATAATTTTAAGCAATGGCTTTTAATAGTCAATACTGTGAACAATAGGCTTTTGATGTTGTTGTGGTGGTTGTTTCCTATTGTTGTTCATTTAAGTATGTTTTCAGTTTGAATTTGTATTTCTATTATCATGCCCTTTAAGATCGGGCAATGGGACCACCAATAAAAAGTAGTCTTTGGGCTAATTTGGTTACATTTATATTTTTGAGGAACATTGATTAATGTACACTGTCCCTTTTTATGAAATAACAAAAATAAAAAAATAATTGATTATGCACAGGGACATGGTGCTCCAGCACCTCGACCAGTTGGGGCTTCAGGTCAACCGGAAAAAGAGCAAGCTCTCCACTGTGCAGAGATCTCGGGATAGATGGGATCTCCTATCTTAATGATGACACGCCTCACAGAAGCATGTGCCAGGATGTGTGCTCTCTGAGACTACTCAACAAGAACACAGTGGTCCTACAAATTTTTTTTTCAGAGGCTCCACACCCCTTAGTTCTTTGACGAACCATGCCTTTCCATAGGCCAGGATAACCTTAGAACAAGTGTCCAGACATGTTGTCATCTCGACAGATGCTTCCAGCAGGGGCTGGAATCCATGTGTAATGAGAATGCTGCTCTGGGTTCATGGACTGGACACTGATTGCATTTGCATATCAATTGCCTGGAGCTGTTGGCAGTGTTTCTCACTCTCCTCTGATTTTTGCTGGTCCTGGAGCAGAAACATGCGCTGGTCAGGACGGACAGCACGGAAACGGTGGCGTATATCAACCGTATGGGTGGTATTCGCTCCCATTACATGTCTCAGCTCGCTCGCCATCTGCCCCCTGGAGTCATACAGGGTTAAAACCGCTGTGTGCCAATCACATCCCGGGAAAGCTCAACCATGCAGCTGATGCGCGCTCACGGCAGCTGAGGTCTTGAGGAGAATGGAGACTCCATCCCAGCACGGTCCAGCTAATATGAGAGCTGCTTCTCCTAAAAATGGCCATTGCCAGTTGTTTTATTCCCTGACCGAGGCCCCCCTCAGCATGGATGCATTGCCCCACAGCTGGCCCCCAGGCATGTGCATATAAGCACTTTTCCCAGTGAGCCTACTCGCACAGGCTCTATGCAAGGTCAGGGAGGACAAAGAGCAGGTCTTGTTAGTTGCACCTCACTGGCCCAACCAGATCCTGGGTTTCAAAACTCACACTCTTCACGATGGCCAGGTGCCTGGCCCAGTTCCATGTCTGGTATGCCCGCTTGGTCTATCCACAAGCTGGGGATCAGTGCCAGCTATGCATGATCCCTATTAACAATCCCATACGTGTCATTGGGCCACAGAGTGTTCCGCCTTCTCAGGCGGTTTTCTTCCCTACCCGCTTACTAGTTTATCATATGTATCACTCCCCCTGGACAGGGCAGGCCCATATGTTCATACTGTCACCTAGTTTCCCCTTGGGTAGCAGGTGGCCTCCGCAGTGTCCTTCCCCATTGGGACTGGCATGCTTTTCCAACATACTGTTGTATGTTTAAAAACCCTAGACTACAGCTAGCTAGGTAAAAAGCATATTTACGACCCCCCCAATCCTAAATTCTCAAATTATTCCCATATTCTGTTAATTAAAGAACCTAGGGGACGTTAGAAGGTTACACCCTATGGTGATGCTTGTGCACTCATGCTAATAAGCTTGGCAAACTTCACATCAGGAGTGTGATGGGCTCAGCTGCTGTGGCGTTTTCCTCCCAAAGTGTTGGTAGACACACGCCATAGTTACCACTAAAGGGGACCATCAGGTTACGAAACCCACATTCCCCGAAGATGGGAAAATTTGTGTGTCTCCATTGCCACTGCAGCTGGGTCTCCAGTTGATGGCTGAGTGTTTGGCTCTTCATCGGCAAAAGTCTAGCGGCTCGCTCCGTGTGCCCTGGTAATATACTCTACTAATGATGAATTACTCTTGATTGTGAATGGTCATCTATCGAACTCCTAAAGTGTCGGTAGACACGCGTCTCCTTTCCCATCTTCAGGGAAAATGGGTTATATTCACAACCGGGATATTCTCCAGTGTTCTTCAGATAAATCTCCAATGATGCTCTTGAGTTTCCTTCTTTTGCATGATGCGGGTCCATTACCTGAAAAAAGAAACGCCTGCCACAAACAAAACATCTAACTATCTAAGCCCACCTCCACCCCCTTATTCTTGGAAGGCCATCTTAGTGAATAGGTGATAACTGACCATCGGTTTCTTATCATTCCTGAGATGTGTGATGCCCTAGTGTCTCCACTCCACTCTGTAAAAGACAAAGACAACATAAATAGAATTCTACCTGCTTGTTCAATACTATCTATCTATCTATCTATCTATCTATCTATCTATCTATCTATCTATCTATCTATCTATCTATCTATCTATCTATCTATCTATCTATCTATCTATCCATCCATCCATCCATCCATCCATCCATCCATCCATCCATCCATCCATCCATCCATCCATCCATCCATCCATCCATCCATCCATCCATCCATCCATCCATCCATCCATCCATCCATCCATCCATCCATCCATCCATCCATCCATCCGAAGAAAATACCCAACCATCACTTAGAATGTAAAAATGAAAGTAAATAATTTTAAATTGCGACGTACAGTACTTGTCATTACTGAGGTGTGTTTCCCTGTTTCTCCATATGCTTCAATCTCCCCCCAAAAAAATCAAGTCTTTAATTAATCTCAATACATTTCTTTGGAAACTAACTCCATTGTTTCAGTCTGTACAAAGAGTTCTACCTGTTTGCTGAGCTCCAGGTCTTCAACTATATCTCCACCATTCCCCTTGCAAGTCTTTTTTCTGCTCCACTCCAACCTGCAAACGACAAAGACAGCACTAACAGAGCTCTATCTGCTCGGTTTTATATAAATGTCCATCGATGCGAGTCTCCCTTTTTTGCTTGCTCTCTTTCTATTACCTGAAAAAGAAAAAACTGGCACAGACAAGGCCTATCTAACTATCTATACCAATCACCACTTGCATCATCTTGAAAGGATTTTTTAAAGTCATTAATTCATTTTAATTCCATAATTTGGAAGTTTCATCTGCTTTTGTCTTCAGTCTGGTTTTGTTCTAAAATAACAAATAATATTTTACAGGAATAAATAAAGAAAAACTCAGAACAAGATGACAATCTATAAACTTAGAATAGATAAATGTTTTACAATAATTAATAAAACTGTAAGTAGATTAAATAACAAGAAAAAGCTACAAATGCTGAACAGACCGACAGCATAAATTACAAATAAATGAAACAGCCAGACAATCTATCCGTTAATAGACAAACAGTAATGTGTGTTAAAGCTGACAGCATATAAATACATTATAACAGATCAATTTATCTGACAATATTGCAAATAGGCTAATATGCGAATGTTAAACAAGATAGCAATATAAAAATGAAGCTTACAATCCAGATATTGTATCTATTGGTCTACCAACCTGACAAATGGCCTTCTTCGATTAGAAATAATGGAAAAGATAATTATACACAAACTCTAATAATATATATTCACAATTCTAAAATTGACAAGTCGACAAAATAGCAATCTCCAATTCCAATAAACATTCTGCAATGTTACAATCTACAGTCTAACCGAAAAAAATAAGTGTACAAACTAATGTAATTATCTGAAACAATATGATAGAGAGAAATACTAAATTCTTTAGTCTCCTTCAGAAAAATCACTCTGAAACAACCATATATAATAACCTAAAATGATACTTAGAGAAATCTTTAAATACCTTTAATGTCTAGCGATGGTCAGACACTTACTGCAGTTTCTCTTCGTCAGCGGGCATTTTTCAAACACATTCTTTTTTTAGAATGCCATGGACTATGGTAACCAGTAACCACAGCAACGCCACCACCATATTACAACATCTTAAAGGTCCAGTGCGTGATTTCCGCGAAGCACTGTAGAATATAACAATAACCAGCAGACTGAGGAACAGCTTTTCCCTTAGAACTGTCACCCCTTTGAACTCTGCCCCCCACTGACTCTTTTGCCCCCTCATAGACCCCCACCCTCTCCTCATTACTTATACTGCTCATAATCACTGCACTAATTAATATTTGCATATTTTAAAATTTCATTGCACTAATTCATTTTGAACTGTACACACCCACTGTATACATATACATTTGTAATTATGCTCATATATATCTGCATACTTCTAATCTACATGATTATTAATAGCAACCATATATTCATCTATTTTTAATCTCTGTTCAAAGCTATTAAATCTGTATACTATGTTCATAGTACATCCATCTGTAAATATTACCCATAGTTTTTCTATGATTGTACTTATACCTAATGTATATCCAGCACTTGCTGCTATTGGACTCCTAGTTAGACCTAAACTGCATTTTGTTGCCTTGTACATGTGTAATGATAAAAAAGTTTAATCTAATCTAATAATAATTCTGTAAAAAATTTGGGTCCCTGTAACACTACCTTTTAAATACAGTTGAAGTCAGAATTATTAGCCTCTCTAAATTATTAACCTCCCGTTTATTTTTCCCCCCAATTTCTGTTTGTTTAACACATTTCTAAACATAATATTTTTAATACCTCATTTCTAATAACTTTTACTTTATCTTTGCCATGATGATAGTAAATAATGTTTTATTAGATATTTTTCAAGACACTACTATTCGGATTAAAAAGTGACATTTAAAGGCTTAACTAGGTTAATTAGGTGAACTAGGCAGGTTAGGGTAATTAGGCAAGTTATTGTATAACAGTGGTTTGTTCAGTAGACAGTCGAAAAAAAATATATAGCTTAAAAGGTCCAATAATTTTGACCTTAAAATGGGTTTTAAAAATTCAAATCTGCTTTTATTCTGGCCGAAATAAAACAAATAAGACAGAAGAAAAAACATTATCAGACATACTGTGAAAATTTCCTTGCTCTGCTAAACATCATTTGGGAAATATAAAAAAAATGAATCAAAGGGGGGCTAATAATTCTGACTTCAACTGTATATAAAGGCTGAAACTTAAATGTAAATGTCACTTCTCATGTAATGCAATACACATTTCACTATTGTCAGTAATGTGCAATTATTCAATATAAATAAAAGTGTTTCTTTACCCGTATCCTACATTTTAGAGGTACTTGGTGCTTTACTTCCTTGGTCAAATTAAATTTCTGCAATTGAACACAAATAAATTAAATGAGTGACTGAATTTAATAAATCAAAATTGCTCAATTATAAACTTGTTAGTAAAAACTTAACCAGAGACACATGCTGCAAATTAGCTAGGAAATTCAGCATCCTCTGCTATTCCTGTCAAAAAAAAAAAAAAATATATATATATATATAAAGTAATAAAATAATGAGAAGTCAAACGTGAGTGTGAAATTTCTGATTATAAATAGCACCTCTGGAACAGCCTGAATGTTGATTCAGCTGATTATTTTCCCATGTCATGTTTTCTTAAGGTCACGTGTTTGTAAGAATTTGGTAACATTTCAGAAAACAAGTTTTCCATTAGCCAAAATTTCTCGGCTTGGTTTCTTATAATCAAGGGGAATATTAGTCAGAAGGGGGCATTTATCAGTGCACACTTTGTGTTTTTTGTTTACTCTTGTGCTCCTGTCTGTAATAAATGGGATTTTTTGACAAATACATGGTCTTCCACTCATACATCTCTAGTGTGAAATGGTAATAAAGAGCTTTCTAATGCATACCAACACAGAGTATAGCATAATTTAGACTTATTTAACTCTGGAAAACAAACATTAAAGAGTACACCCCTTTTGAAATATATATATATATATATTTTATCCATTTTTCAGAGAATATAGACTATATATTTTGGTTTATTAAAAAACTGTTTTGTTTAACAGTTATATTTATTTTAAATGTGTCTGTAATCACCCAACACCTTTTAAAAATAAAAATATAAAACATTTAAATTCAAATGAGATGTTGTAAATCGAAAATATTCTCCTGATTTATACTCTTTCCCTAAGTTCCCCTAACATATTCATTGGGATGAACCAATTTTTGTTATTCAGTTAATTCATTTCCAGTTTGGGCTTTGGTATTTGCTTATTTGGTTCACAAATATCTTATTGTAGCATTCATATAGCAAATATTAATTTAAAAGTGAGATCTGTAAGGGGTGTACACATTTATGGAGGGCACTATTTAATATATATATTTGCTGCATTACCTACCTAATTTGCAGCGTGTGTCCATGGTTAGGCTTTTATTAAGAAATGTTTAATTGAGAGATTTTAATTTATTTAATTCAATAATTCTTTAAAATTTATTTGGGTTTAATTTTCGAAATTTAATATGACAAAGGAAAGTGATGCACCAATGCACCTCTAAAATATAATATACATATATTTATGTATTCATAAACATGTACCCCAATAAATCTGACAATAGTGGCTATATTATCTCTTTATTTTGACAGAGAATTGACACTATTTAAGGATATCAGTACAACCCCTAAATACTAATAACTTTTAGTCTTTATAACTATGACTTATACCACTATGTTTTACCCATTTTCAGTGCAAGTTTTTAATAATTAAACTCTTTAACTGGTGATTTGTGAATACTGTTCCTTCATAACTGTATAAAAATAAATGAATAAATAAGAAGGAATAAGTGTATGTTACATTGACACATATGTTGGAGTCACACACTGGTTGCTATTTAAGCAAATATGTATGTGTGTCCTTGAAACTTATCTGGAGTTGTGGAGCAAACAAGAGTATAAAAGCTTGGCGCTAAAAGCCAGAAAACACACCACTCAACAGCTTCACCATGAAGGCTTTCATTCTTCTGGCTCTTTTCGCTGTGGCTTGTAAGTAAGCGGGGCAGGGATCATTTAGACCTGAAGTAACACAGGAAACAATGTTTGATAGAAATGATTAAAACGTTAATGGTTAATAAACAAAATATTGAATGCATCTTAATCCATTTCAATTCAAAAGTGTTTACTGCCTTTTTCTACAGGGTGTCTAAAATGTACTAAACCTTCTGTTTTCTTAGATGCCGCTCCTCTGGGAGACGATGATGATAAGATTGTTGGTGGATATGAGTGCACTAAGAATGGTGTTCCATACCAGGTGTCTCTGAACAGCGGCTACCACTTCTGCGGTGGCTCTCTGATCAGCAACCTCTGGGTTGTGTCTGCTGCTCACTGCTACAAGTCGTAAGTTGTCGTCTATATATATATATATATATATATATATATATATATATATATATATATATATATATATATATATATATATTTTGCAGCAACAAATATAGACGGGTGACTGCAGTTTGCTGTAATGGGAAAGTTGTATATAATTTGAGTAAAAGTATTTTTTTTACTCTTTGTTTCAAAGACTAGGGTTTAAGAGACAGTTCACTTAAGAGAGAAAATGTACACATTATTTAGTCGTCCTCAAAAGGTTTTAAATCTTCATGAGTTTTTTTCTTTCGTTGAACACAAAAGAAGATACTCTGAAGAAAGCTGAAAACCTGTAACCAACTTACACTGCAGGACAAATGAATGGTTTTGTGGTAAAATGATTACATGCTTCCAGCTTTCTTCTGATTATTTTTTGTTCAACAGAAAAACAAGAAAAAAGTTAGACATGTTTGAAACAAGTGAAGGGGCAGTAAATGATGAATGAAATTTTATCTTTGGGTGAACTGTCCTTTAAGTCTATTCCCAGATTACAATGTATGTCTGAGCCATTTCAACTGAAAGACGCTTTCACTGACAGATCTAAAAACAAAACCAGCACATGTGTTTTGTTTCAAGATGGACACCATAATGATTTTTATTCTAAGGTACATTAATATCTTTTAAGTGAACTATGGCCAAATTCCGGCTTAGTCTAAGCCCTGTCTGTGAAACCAGGCCATAAAGTTTCAATAACCTTGAGCTCTCTGAATTTGATTTTAAAATAATACTTTTGATTTGAGAATTAATAGCCTATATTTTCCAGCAAGGGAAAAATCTATTACGTTTCTGAGCATAATAGTTTTAATACCAAAGTTATTGTATAGCGATGGTTTGTTCTGTAGACTATCGAGAAAAAAATTGCCTCAAGGGCAAAATGTTTTTTTTTAAATCAAAGCTGTTTTTATTCTATAAGAAATAAAACATATAAGAGTTACTCTAGGAAAAAAAATATTATCAGACACACTGTAAACATTTTCTTGCTCTGTTAAACATGACATTTTAAATAGAAACCTTCCTAAAAGTGAATGTACCAGAATTAATTTAAATGATTTTATTAATAATTAAGATTGTTTAAAGTGGTTCGATTAAGTCAATACTTTTAAGTTATATATATTTACTTAGAATGTACTCACAGCTGCGCACATTCTCTCGTCAAGTTTGTTTTATGTAAATCACAACTTTTGTGTGGGAGGTGGTGTACGCACATTTCCACCCCCGTTCATGCATACGCCACATTTATAAACGAGACCCCAGACCAGAATATAGTAGAATGAATTCTGATAGACCGCATCAAACTAAAGATTAATGATGCAGAAATGATGCAGAAAATTCAGCTTTGCTATTACAATAAAACACAATAACATTTAAATAAATTACAATGAAACATTTAACTAAAATTGTAATGATATTTCACTTAATATTTTTCCATCTTGGTGAACACAATGCATTCATTTAATTTCTAGTTCACATAGTAGAAGTAATAAGAACATCAAGATTTTCTTGTAATCGATTCAAACTGTTTGCAAATGTTTATTTTAAATAAATACTGCCATGAATATGCCTAATATGAAGAATTTAGATGCAAAAACCACTAAATGCCATCAGAAATTTCTTTCAAAAACAAGAATTTTTCTCAATCTCCCATGTTTATTATTTAGTTTTTTTCAGTTTACAGGCAATGGAAATATCCTATTCATCAATATACATGTGAAATTACTGAACCTACACACAAGAGTCTGAGAAAAATGCTAATTTTAGAAGAAGATTTTAGGTGGCATTTAGAGGTTTTTGCATCTGAGCTCTTTATATATTGATTCATCACTAGGGCCAGACAGAATTTTTTGCCATTTCTGCAGATAATTTTTGTTTAAAGAATCTGCGGATTTATGCGGAATTATTTTAGAAGTATCTTAACTAAAAACTTAGTATATAAAAATAAAAAATATCCATCCAATACAATGAGATCCACTTATATGTTAATCAAAGCAAGTCTCGTATAATATTTCCACTAAAAGACAGAAAATATTACTTTACAAACTGTATTGTAAATAAATCATTTGAACATTTTCATATTACTAATATTATATCACAATAACGTTAGTAAAATTAAATAAAAACTGAATATATATTTAAACACATTTACTCAAGTAAATATATAGACTTAATGATAGGGTAAAAATCAGCAGAAATCTGTGTATTTCTGCATGCACAGATTCCGTGTGGGCCTATTCATCACCTAAAATTCAGTCCTAAATTCAGAAATCAGTTGTATTTTTAATGTGATTTGATAATCTTTCAAACTTTTGATCAAATATTGATGGCCATTTCTCATTATGTTTCCCAGATGGCCTGTGGTGTTTTTGATTAGGTCTTATGTTCAGTAAATAGAGTATGGAAAAAGCATGTTAAGAGAATTCAGCATTAGCCTTCAGTCTCTTACCTCTCTCTGATCCTCAGCCGTGTCCAGGTGCGTCTGGGTGAGCACAACATTGACGTCACTGAGGGAACCGAGCAGTTCATCAACTCCGAAAAAGTCATCAGACACCCCAGCTACAACAGCAACACCCTGGACAATGACGTCATGCTGATCAAGCTGAGCAGCTCCGCCCAAATCAACAGCTACGTTAAGACCGTCTCTCTGCCTTCAAGCTGCGCTTCATCTGGAACCAGCTGTCTGATCTCTGGATGGGGAAACATGAGCGCCAGTGGAAGTACGTACCTTTAAACTAACACAGAATGACAGATCAATCCCTAATATGATCATGCTCTTCTGAGGGAATCCAGAATGTATAAGAAATCATCTGTACAGTTTCTTTTGTATAGAGAATCAATTTTTCTACAGCTAAGGTCAGATTGTTACACTTTTTTCTACTCATTACGGAACAGTATTTATACACTTACGGTAAATTTGATAAAATTCTTATAAATTTTTTATATTTTATTTAGTATTTAACACTTTTTTTTCTTTAGTTTCAAACTGTATATTTTTTATTAGGTTTATCTTAGGTCAGACAGAAAATAATAACTTTAAATATAAATAAAATATAGATACATCTGCTCATACACAATAACACCACAGACTAGTTAAATTCGCCAAACTTAACTTATAATATTTTTATACTTTTCAATTAATTATTAATTTATTCAGTTTTATTTATTCAGTCTTTTTTTTTTGGAATAATGTTTATTTATCTCAATAACATATTTGATAGTTTGTTTTAGATTTTTTTGACATGTTAATTATTTGTAAATAATTGTTTTAACATTTCCAAAACCAAAAAAGTGACAGTTCACCCAAAAATGAAAATTCTGTCATCATTTACTCACCCTCCAGTTGTTTTAAACCTGTTTGATGTTCTTTCTTCTGATCAAAACAATAAAATATATTTGAAATATTGTTGTAAACTGGTAACCATTGACCTCCATAGTAATTGCTTTTCCTACAACGGATATCAATGGTTCCCAGTTTCTAGCATTTTTTAAACTATTGTCTTTCAGAAAAAAAGACATTCATACATTTTTAATCAACATAAGGGTGAGTAGATTTTTGGGAAAACTGTCCCTTTAAGCATTTTTTCAGGGCCTCGGGTTGAAAACTGTACTGTAAAGAAACCTAGTTCACCTAGTGTCCGCTTGATGTATTCTCAGGCAATTACCCAAGCCGTCTGATGTGCCTGAATGCTCCCATTTTGAGCGACAGCACCTGCAGAAACGCCTACCCTGGTCAGATCTCCTCTAACATGTTCTGCGCTGGTTTTATGGAGGGAGGCAAGGACTCCTGCCAGGTAAGATCACGCTTTTAATGTCTTGCAAACCAAAACACTCTTTATAGCAATTACTGACTTGTCTGAAATACTTGTGGATTGCAGGGTGACTCTGGTGGCCCAGTTGTGTGCAACAACCAGCTGCAGGGTATCGTGTCCTGGGGTTATGGCTGTGCCCAGAGGAACAAGCCCGGTGTTTACGCCAAGGTCTGCAACTTCACCACCTGGATCAGAAACACCATGAACTCCAACTAAGCTCGGGGAAGTTTTGAGGTCGTTATCATGGCGTGTTGCAATACCATCTGGCAAAGCAAAAATAAATGTCTGATAACAAACACTGAAGTTGTTTCATTGTGTTATTTATTATAACAGCTTGTGTTCAAAACACATTGCTATTTTTTTGTCTTTTAATTTAGTATAAATGACTGAAACGGTATGCACTTTGTATAAAGTATTGAATTTATTTATTTTTAAGAGGTCAAGGCAGGTTGTAATTTCTATATTTAATAAGATTATGCAAAACAACCATCCAAACAACAAAGTTTGCTCTAAAACTAAATGTGAGAAATGAAAAACTAAAACCTTATTAGTAAAACACACAAAACATTTGAGAGAAATCCAAAATATCCTAATGCAATTTTTTATTATTCTCTTCATTTTTACTCACCACGACTTAAGATCGAGCAAGATGTTGAATCTGTTTAAGGGATAGTTCACCAAAAACTAAATTCTGCCATGATTTACCCATCACTTGTTCCAAAACTCTTTGAGTTTATCACGGAAGACAATATTTAAAAAAAAGCTGAAACCTATAACCAATGCCATCCACAGTCTTTGTTTTTCCTACTTTGAAAGTCATTGGTTCCAGGTTTCAAAGTAATTCTTCTATGTTTGACAGAAAAGCGACTCAATATTAGTGACTACATTTTCATTTTTGTTAAACGATCCCTTTAATGGCTACGTCTTTAGATGAAATGTCAATTACAGCACCAACAGCAATATCAACTAAGATCTAAATCAAACAATAGCATTCCTAAATGAAACAATACTGTCAATTACCGGGAATCTTTAGTCCAAACATATTAATAACCATTTGTGTAACAAAACTGAGGGTACGTTACACAGAAATGATGTACTTAAAACACTGTATCACGCATGCCAGGACAGTAGTAGTCAGTAATGTCACTTAGCATCTTGAGCAGAAAACACATGTAGTCTGTAAGCCTATATGTAGACTGAACACACAAGACACATAGTGTCTCTGCTTTCATAATTGACACATACAGTTGAAGTCAGAATTATTAGCCCCCCTTTCAATTCTTTTTTTTTTTTTATGTTTCCCAAATGATGTTTAACAGAGCAAGTGATTTTTCACAGTATGTCTGATAATATTTTTTCTTTTGGAGAAAGTCGTATTTGTTTTATTTCAGCTAGAATAAAAGCAGTTTTTAATTAAAAAAAAATTTTTTAAGGTCAAAATTATTAGTCCCCCTTTTTTTGATAGTCTACACAACAAACCATCGCTATACAATAATTTGCCAAATTATCCTAACCTGCCTAGTTAATCTAATTAACCTAGTTAATCTTTTAAATGTCACTTTAAGCTGCATAGAAGTGTCTTGAAAAATATCTAGTCAAACATTATTTACTGTCATCATAGCAAAGATAAAATAAATCAGTTATTAGAGAGGAGTTATTACAACTATTATGTTTAGAAATGTGTTAAAAAAATCTCCCCATTCTACGGAAATTGGGGAAAAAATAAACGGGGGCTAAAAATTCTGACTTCAACAGTGTCATTCACAAAAGCTTGCGTTCTAAAACCAGTTTTTCAAGTTCGCGTTTTGTCACCAAAATGGTGCTGTTAATGAACTGATAAACCACATAAGGTTTGAACATTTAAAATTAAAATCAGTGTCATGAAAACACCCTCTGAGTGTCAGCACGTCAGTATTGTTGATATCACAAAAACTAACTATTCATATACAGCAAGCCTTTTCATTTGTTTGAGAAGTTATGTGATCCCTATGCAACTAGCACACACTCGCTGAACGAACGAGAACAACAATTACTGCATATTTATATTTCTCCTCTGGCATGTTCCAAGTAATGCCCATGCAGCGCTACAAGATCTGAAAAACAAGCATTGCATTCAGTGCAAACTAAATTACCAGTGGTACTTTCAGTCTTCAAAACGGACTTGTTAGAATTATTTGATTCTGCCGTCACCGGAACTCGGTTTTTAGTGTGATTTTCAAGCATTTGCTCCTCGTTAGTTTTGGAGCCAGGTAAAGTTTGATGATTTGTTGACAGTTGAGGCAATGTCTTGATGGTGCTCGGAGACTGGTTTGGATTTTGCTGTGGCTTTTTTAAGGGTGATGAACGTAAGGGTGACACAGAATGAGGCCTTTCTGCACCATTTGAATGTGAGACTGAGCTCTGACGCTGAAAGCCCTTCATTGCTGTTGGTTCTTTATCTGCAGCCTTGTGCTGGAGCTGATGGTGGAAAAGCAAATCCAAATTCCCAAAACAGGCACTGCATGCCCCGCACTCATAGGGATGTCCAGTGGACTGCAGATCAGCGTTGTAAAGTGTCTCGATTGGATCAATTGTGCAGTGAACAACTTTGTGTCGCTTAAGAATGGTCGCACTTTCGAATCCTTTTCCGCAATACTCACAAACAAAGGGCATGGTGGAATGGTGCCACTTTTCCTGGTGATTCCTCAACTTCTGTGCATTTGAGAAAGTACGAGTGCAGAAAGGACAAGCGTGAGCATTAAGCTCCGGGTGCTTCTGCACATGTTCATTGTACGATTCCACAAATCGAAACCCCCGACCGCATTTGGGACAAAAAAAACGGCCTCTAATTTGTCTATGCAGCCGCTGATGAATCCAAAACTTGTTCCAGGTCTTAAACACCCTGTTGCAATAGACACATGTGAAGTTTTTACCACGCGAATGCGTCAGCATATGTGCTCTCAGTCTTCCCACGTGCCGGAATATTCGTCCACATCGTGGGCAGAAGTAACTCCTTGGATCTGCTTTATGGTGCGTACTGTTCAACTGGGATACAAAATAGCTAGACTTGATCGGCTGACTGACTGAATAAAGGTTATTCGGAAAGTCTGAATCTGAAGCAGCCAAGATTTGAGGAGGACAAGCAAGCAAGGAGCACCTTTTGAGCTTTCTTGGCGAGAAAATCTCTTTTTGAGGAGATTTTGCTGGACTGCGCACTCTCGGTGGAGTTCTTCTGTTCATTGGGCTTTTGGGTTGTGATCTGTGAGGTGGACTGTAGCCAGAAAACTTTGATTTTGCAAGTCGTATGGCACCACAATGCTTGCTGTGCGTATGCAGCTCTGAGAGAAGACTGAAAGTCTGCTTGCATCGGTCACAACTGTAACGCTGAGTATCCTTGTGCCCTTGCACATGTAATTCATACTCATCCCTGGTGCTGAAGCATGTTTTGCAAAGGTGGCACCTGAAGCTGACAACGCCGTCGGTTTCCATTTCTTTCACAGTGTTATGCATGCGTGTTTTTCCTTCACAAGTATGTAATTTTAACGGCCCGAGCTGAGAAAATCCTTTACCACATTTGGTGCACAGGAAAGGCCTAATGGACCAGTGCACTCGTTCATGAACACGCGCGGTGCAGGCCTGAGTAAACGATTTGCCACACACCTTACAAGAGTACGGTTTTTCTCCACTGTGAATGCGAAGATGGATTTTGAGGACGGACTTGTAGCAGAAGACCTTTGCACAAATTGGACATGTTTGGGGTTTCCCTTTTCCTTTCCCTCGGCCTCTCCTTCTTTTAGAAGTGATTTGATTGCTATGAAAGTCAGTTTCTTTTTTATCAGTACTGTACACTTGACTCTCGTCTGCAGATTTCTCAGTTGTGACTTTGTTTTGATTTCTGTGTTTCCGGCTTCTGGATCTATGGACTTTGCTGTGGGATCTAAGGTTGGAGAGTTGAGCGAAGGCTTTGCCGCAGTCCTGGCAAACAAAGGGCTTCTCACCGGTGTGGATGCGCAGATGAATGATATACGCAGAGGCATGGTTGAACGGACGTGAGCAATGTTCACATCTGATAACTCGCTTTTCTTTGCGAGGCCGTCCGCGGGTAAAAGAAGGAAATCCGTGTTTGTTTTCTGTAACCTCCATACTATTTTCCTTAGCGTTGTCATCTTCTGCAGGAGTCTCTTTATTCTGCTCTGAATTAGACTCTTGTTGTTCCTCAGTTGAAGGATCTTCATCATCTAATGTTTCATCATTTTGGTTTAATGTTTCAGAGAGCGAATCTTGCATTTCAACATCAGAAACCATTGGATCTGCAGTGCTCTCGTGAATGTCTTTGTCAGAATAATTGCTATCACCTTTATTAGAGCTGGATGCATCATAATCAGCTTCCGCAGGGGTTAGCACATTTGCATAAAGGGCTTCATTCATGTCAGACTCCCTTTCAGGCTGATTACTCGAGATTTCATCTGTTTTATCAGACACCTGAGTGCTAGTTTGTGGTTTATTTAATTCTGTATTAGTTGGCAATGATTTTGGTTGGCTATCTGTGGTGCTGGAAACACAATCAGAATTAGCCTCCGGCTGATCAAAGTCTTCTGAGCATCTCCGAGCATCCATATTAGTATTCTTAACTAGACTAAACGGTTGTGGAAATGTATTTACATCTGCTTCACTGGAGCCTTTCCCATCAGCATTACAGGACAAGGGTTCAGGTTGGACATTAGTGGCTGCTGGTGAAGGTTCCTCCACTTCTCTGTTCTGGGAGCTTAACGCCAGACCTTTTGAAATGAATTCCCCCATTCCCACACTCTTCACAGACTGTTCCTGGGTTTCAGCTTCACCGTTGTTGGTTTCATGCTTCTTAGCTTCTCCTTCAAGCATGATGTGTGAATCGCCTGCGGTTGCCCGATCTTCTCCTCGCTCACACTGAAACTAAAGAGAAGAACAAACAGTAAGACAACCAAAAATTAGATGCTAAGTTTCATTAGAAACTGCTTGATTGGAGGATATAGTCAAACCAGAAATTATTCAGGCACTAAATATCTTTCTTTTTTATTATTAGTAGGTGCAAGACATTCATTCATTCATCTCATCATTTATTGAGCATAGCAAAATAATGCAAATTGTGACATATTTTACAAAAGTCTTCATTTTAGTTCAGGCTGGGAGGACAGCAGAGACTATATTTTGTCATTGAGGCTAAAGATGAACCAACAAAGTATTGATAGTTGAGTAAATATCGTCATACTAATAGCTGTCTGAATTATGTTTGGTTGATTGTAATCTATAACAAACTGTACTTTTCTTTCAAAATTATCTGACTGATTACCAAGATAACATTTGTTCTGACAGTTATTGTCATGGTTTTGTTACCAGTTTCTAAACTACAGAGAATAAACTGTGATAATGTGCGAAATGCTGAAGATTTCAGAGTATTTTTTTATTTGACTATGTTTTAAATATATTGTAGTATTAATGTGGCATCATAAACCTTTGATGAAATGTCATATATATATATACACACATACACATAAACACACATAAACACACATAAACACACATAAACACACACACACACACACACACACATATATATATATATATATATATATATATATATATATATATATATATATATATATATATATATATGCATACATTTATCCATTTCTCTGTGAATGAGAACAAAATACCTTGTTGTCTTTTTACAAAGCCGTTTAATTACACATTTATTATACGTGAGGACATAAACATCTTTAGGACTAGAAAAGCAAAAGTCAATGATTCATTCGAGTTATTTAGCCTGACTTGTATACTGCTCCAAAATATTTTAAATGTATCTCAAAAAATATATATTGTGTTCAAAGAGGAAAAAAGTTTGTTTTTTACCGAGATGTTTAAAAATAATATATTTTACAGCAGTAATTACAGTACTGCGAAACCATGGTATTTTTATCCAAGGTTATGAAAGAGTCAGAATTGTATGTTGCTAAAGTAATTACACCTTCAACAAATTCAACTAAAATTATTTTTTTTATGTCCTCCTTGATTTTTCCTGTCAAACTGTTTAAACTTTTAGATTTTCTCCAAAGTCCAAACACATTTTTACACTATTATCTTAGTTTTTTTGTTAGAATTGGTACAAATATTACCTAATACCAATAATTAGCTTTGCAAATATTATATCGATAGATGGTGATATATTTCATCAGCAATGTGACACATTTGCCATGTTCATGTGTTTTTTCTTAATGATTTATCAAACGTTTAAAAATATTACTAACATAAAAATAATTATGGGTATCATACCAATTATTCTTTGCATATTTGTGTTTTACATCTTTCCATGGCATTCACTCAGAGTGCTTTAATCTTATTATTATTGTTTTCATTGTGGTTCTGTCAAAGAACCAGTTCAGTTCAATTGTTAACTTACTGAATCGAACCACAACAATGAAACTAAATAAACCAGATTTCTAGTCACTATTTGTTTTTATTTTATTTTTTGGCTGTTTTTGGAATCTTTTATATATATTCAACCCACAGCAACTAAAAAGAAACAACTGTTTACGTAATTTGCATTTTCCAAGTGCTGCAGCAGACATAGCGGCGCAGGCTGATGGCGCTCTGCAGACATTTGCATAGGCCATTCCTGCCATCTACAGTGCACATTACTGTAATTTTTCTGCAGGCTCTGTAACAGCCACCCTGCATCAATCAGTAGATCAGAGCATGTGCTTTAACGGGGTTATTTTCAAAAGCGAAACAAACACGTTTAATACAAAGAATATCATATTATGTGTATGGGGGTTAATTCGCCGCTATACCACGCGAACCATCATTAGTAAAACCTCTGAACTTCATTAAAAAAACACATGCATATGCAAATGTACCTATTGTTTGATCGATAGCTTAAACCGAGCTACTACCTTCATCCAGAACAAAGAAGGTACAAACAAGCGAGTCAACTGTACGTAAAGCATGCCGTTTGTCACCAACCTTTCATGCTCTTTCTTTTCAGCACCAATGGACTACGCGACACAGGACGCCTATAAACAAATGGAGTTTCCTTTTCCGCTTGCGATAAAAGCCTCTCCGACGACCCTTTCTGCGGTGTGCGTGGTAAAATATCCCTAAATCACTCTTTATGTAAATAAATAAACGAATTATTGTAAAATGCTTGTAGTTTGGCTGCAATTAACGTGCATTATGTTGTCAAAACGTCATATAAAAAGCCGAGAATGTATTTATTTCAATAATTAATTAAAAACAGAATTAACACACAATTACCATGCACATAACATGTATCTGAATATCATTCATTCATTTTCTTTTCGGCTTGGTACCTTTATTCATCTGGGGTCACCACAGCGGAATGAACCGCCAACTTATCCAGCATATGTTTTACGCAGCGGATGCCCTTCCAGCAGCAACCCATCACTGGGGAGGTATCTGAATTTGTGATATTCTATTAAACGTTACCAACTAACCAAATAAAAATAACAATTAAAAGAAATTAAATAACACAATTAAATAAAATGTGGAAAAAGTGCAGCACATACATTTTTACAAATTTATAATTTTCCTTTTTTTTTAAATCAATTTCTCAGCGAATGCAAATACATTTTGGTGCATTTTATCAAATCAGTAAACAGATGTTCAATAAAATTCTAGCGTGGTCGCGTGACATGTTAAGGGTTTTGAAGATAATACATTTAAATAATAAAAAAAATTTAATATATTTTTATTCCTCTTGATTTTTCCACTTAAAAAAAAAAATCAAATCTTAACATCTTATTTCAGATGTGCTAATGTTTGGGCAGTTGTCTTACATTAAGTATTTATTTATGCTGGGCTCAATATATATGCTCTTATTTACAGACCCTTATTTGTGTGTGTGTGTGTGTGTGAATTTTCTATGTAAATATTATGAAGATTCGAAATTAAGAATTATACAACAAATAAGCTTTCTATTGATGAATAGTTTCATAAAATATGACAATATTTGGCAGAGATTAGCCTATCTGAAAATCTGGAATTTGAGGGTTACAAAAATTTTAAACATTGAAAAAAAAAATCACCTTTAAAATTTCTAAATTAAGTCTTTAGCGATGCATATTACTAATTATAAAATCAGTTTTAATATCTTTGCATTAGGAAGTTTACAAAATGTTTTTACTGAAGTTGTAAAAATCTTTAGACAGGAACTACAGAATGTTCAAATTAATCTGAGACTTATAAAGGTGTCACTGTTGTGTTTATTGATGTAACGTACAACATGTTCACATCAAAATGTATTATTTACAGTACACTAACAATACACAATGGGTTCTATAAAAACAGTTGTCAACTAATCTATTTTACATTTTATACACTGCTTGCAAAAGAAAAATCTCCCTTTCACTGAGGAAAACAAAACATCTGTATTTAATACATGAATTAAATTAAGGCAGCATTGATGAAATACAGAGGAAGCTTAAAATGATATCAACAAGACAACAAAAACCTGATACACTACTGATCAGATATGAACTTTTTAAAAATGTTTAAGCTACTGAAAATCCTTTCTACTTCTTAAAAATTGAATAATGTACTCAAATGCTGCCTTATAGCAGTTCTTTTTTCTTCTTTTTCAGCATTCTAACACAATGCTCCAATTTATAGCAACACACAGGCAGCAGATTCACAGTTTAAAAATGCATTCATTTACAGGAAAGGTATTGGCTTCTGATCTAGATCTTCTTCTATGTCATTTGTTGCTATTGTGGATACTGACGGTTCAGGGACTGGGCCTAAAATGCGATGAACCCTCCTCCTGTGATTTTTTAGAGATATTTCATCAGGGTAGCTGCGCTGGCAAATCAGACACTTGTATAGATTATGTTGCGTGACCCCCTTTGACACGTCTAAACCTCCCACAATCCCATGGACCCTTCTCCTGTGGTTTCGGAGGGACTGTATATCAGGATAGCTGCGTGAGCAAATGTGACATTGAAATTGACCGGGAGCGCTGTTTTGCTCAGGTCCCTTCATTGGTGGAAACACAGCACCGAGAATATTATGCACCCTTCTTCTGTGGTTCTTTAAAGACTTAATGGTAGGATAGCTGCGCCCGCATATCTGACACAGAAACTGCCCTATGCGAACTGGTTCTGTGGTACTCAGATTGTTTTGTTTTGGCTGTTTAGGCCGATGAACTTTCCTTAGGTGATCCTTCAGGGATTGAAGCTTTGGATAATAGCGAAGGCAAACATGACATTGAAAAGGAGTAACTGAAGTGTTTTCCACACTTGGTTGGGACGACAGATTCGGTGCATTCTCCTCTGGCCTCAATCTGTTGTTCAAGCCATGAACCTTTCTTTTATGTTCCTCGAGTGCCTGAAGGTTTGGACAGTTTTGGTCACAAATCTGACAGACTGCTTGCCTGCTGTGCGAGACCAGGTGTCTCTTGAGCCCATCTAGACAACTGAACCAACGAACACAGACCGGGCAGCGAATTGGTTTGAATGCAGGTTTACAGGTATTGCTTTGAACGTGAATTTTAAGGTTTAATGGATTGAGGAAGGTGGCACCACATCGAGTGCAGGGGTGTTTCTTCTGAGTTGTAGGATCACCAGTGCAACGCAACCGTATGTGCCTTGCCAAAGAACTGCGCTGACTGAAGTTCTTTTTGCATCTGGGGCAAGTAAGTGGCGCTGTATCTGGCCCATTGTTCAAATGTTTAGGTGGCAAGAGAGCAGGCGGTTTATGCTCAGAAAAACCTGGAGATTGTGGAGGTCGTGTTGGAGCATGTAATGGCAGCGCTTGGGAAAACGTATGAGGACGCTGTTGGGGACCTCTTTGCTCATTTGAACTTTGAGATTGTTTGTGCAATTGCTGATGGGCTTCAAAATCCATCCACGACTGCAAGCTCTCACCACAGTGTGGACAAATGTAGGACTCCTGGGCATGCTGCTGCAGATGTTCGAAGAGTAGTCGAGGACAAGTGAATGAGGCTCCGCATTCACATGTCACTTTTCTTGGGAGAACAGATGGAAGTGACATAATCCCCCAGTTTCTGCTACTGCTAGTATTTTGAGGAGTTTCCTGTTGTACTGCTTTGTTTTCTGTGGATGGTGACAGGACAAACAGGTTTTCTTGGGCTACAGGAGTTTTAGGCTCTGTTCTGGTGCTTACTACTGCAGGTACAGCAGTTTTTCCGTGGCACTTTTTTTGATGCATATTCATATTATCTTTACGGCTGAAAAATTTGCCACATTGAGGACATGGAAATTTTTTAATTGGCCCAGGCAAATCAGCTATCTTATTCTCAATAGTTTGCTCCTTTAAAATCCTCGCCTCACAAACCTTCAGGTGCTCTTTTAGAGTAAACTGCCGAGAATAGCTTCTTTGGCACTCGATGCAAACATACCGCTTCACGCCTTTGTTAGTAATGAACACTTGATAGCCTTCACTAAGAGATTCCGAATCAATTTCCATTTCCTCAGAAGACTCTACATTGACATCATCCTCTTCATAACAGTCGTCTTCATCCATGTCAGCCAAATCATCCTCATCTGAATCCTTTTGCTCCCCATCTACTAGTGTATCAATTTCAGCATCATCCAGTGGCATGGTCCACTGCTTTTCATCCAATTTCTCCTTTTCTTCTTCTTCTTTCATACTAGCCATGTTTTCTGGTAGTTTAACTGAGTTAATGGTTGACTCAGTTGGTTTAGAGCTGTGCTCAGGAGGTTTTGGTGGATGAATCTGATTTTTCTTGTCAATAGGAAATTCTGTGTGATGCTCCTCAACCTTTATCGGCTCTGTGCCTACACCAATATTCACGTGGTGTGATGACATTTGATTGTTTTTCGAGATTTGCATCGCTGTAGTGCTGCTGTCTAAGGTGTGGGGCTTGAGTTCAACTCTGTTAACCGTAGGAGATGCGGATTTCAGAGGAGCTTTACATGGGCAGTTGTGCCTTTTGAGGCTGCGTATCCGTGCGTAACCACGCTTGCATAACGAACAGTAGAAAATTTTCTCTAGCTGTTGAGCTGTAGGGATAACCGGTTCTGGGGGCATCTTTGCTGTCAAAGGCTGAATATTTTTAGAAAATGAACTAAAGCAGACGTGGTTCTCTGGAACTGAGATTACAGTGATCACAAATTGCTGACAATAAAGACAAAATTTAACTCTTTCTTTCTTATGCAAGGCATGATGCATTATCAAGGTGTCTAGATCTTGGAAAACTCTACGACAGAGTCTGCACTGATGTCTACCTTCCACATTGTCTCGGCCAAAGAGTTTCTGTCGAGTCTCAAGAACCACCACGGGGCAGAGAGTTTGTGTCACGGGTATAATCTTCCCCTTCTTTGAGAACATCTTTCCAGGTTGCACACTCACAGTCTCTTTTGATGGTGTTGATTGAATCTTCGGCGGTTCAGGCTTTGATATAATCACTGTGGGTGGGGGTTGAATTGGTGCTCTTGGTGAGACTTTTCTTGGGGGCAAGTTCCTCTGTTTCATTTGGACGGGCTGTTTATGACTCATGTAGGCAGATGCTAATATCTTTAGGATTGACTTCTTTTTTTCACCAGAATCTTGATCCATTAAACCAGAATCGACTGCATCTGATTCTTTTGAAGATTCTGGTGACTTCTCATTGTCGTGCAAAGAATGATTTAGCGCAGTTGAGGAGTTCAAAGTGTCATTGTCCTCCTCAAGAGTCTGCACTTGCTCTTCATTCACAAAGTGCAATTCGGAAGACTGCAAGATTTTGCTTTCCATGTCTGTAGTGGATTCTATCGTCTTTGTTATGGAATCTGAAGTAGAAGGTGGAATTGGTGCAAGTTGTTTTTCATTGAAAGCTAAAGGTGAAAGACTATGAAAAACCTGGTCTGAGATTAGACGGATGAGGTCTGTTTTCTTCTCTGGGATAACAGGAATCTTCTCAAAAGATAAATCCATCTTGTTTTCTGTGTCATGTTGTTTTTTGTGTTCCTCAAGTGTTGTAAAATCACCAAACTCCTTGCCACAGTCACATGTGTGGAGGTGGGCTCGAGATGCTGGAGATTCTGGAGTGGGCAACCTAACACATTGG